AGATTTTTATGATTTTGGACTTGTTAGAATCCTCTTAATAAAAAGATCATTTTGGTAGTTAAATTATCCAAATTGGTCTAGTAGATCAAAAGTTATTCAATATTAAATATTATATATAATTTTAATTGTATGTTTTAATAAATATGAAATCTATTGGCTAGCAAGTGAGAGGTAGGAGTTTTACTTATTTGCATGAGTAACACAAACCAAAAAAGAAAATAGAATTTTGTAAATAAACTAAGTGTATAAAGATAGAAGTTTAGGTTTAGAGAGTTAATATTAGTGGCTATAACAATAGATTGTTACTTGCTATATGTAAAATTCTGTTCCAGATATTTTTTATTAGTGCATTATGGTCGATTTAAGCACTAGTTTTTGAGTATTTTTGCTTTTTTCATTTTTTTCTTTTTCACATATGTTCAGAATTTATGTTGTACTAATCTGGAACCATCAAATTTTGTGACTCTGATTAGCCATTTCCTTTTTAGGGGTTTGTATTACTCACACACAAATAAGTGCATCCAGAGTGGGGTGGGTTTGAATAATTTATTAGTAAACCCTAATTAGCTGATTTCTGAAAGCCCCTTATTATTATATTATATTATTATATATATTAGATAGTAATTTTATAGTCATTATATAGAAATAATTTAATTAACTAAAAAGAAGTATAGTGTAGTCATATGATCTATATGATCTAAGATAATACAAAGTTATACAAAAAAGTACTTTAGATTATACAAAAAAGTAATACAAGAAAGTAATATAATTTCTCTAAATTTTTCTATACAGAATTTTCCAAATTCCTTCTATACAAACTTAAGTGTTTTGAATACAAGATATCATATCACAAGCCCAGTACTATATTACAGAATTCTCTAGATTCCTTTTTCTCAAGCTCTTTTTCACAAATAATAAATAAAATATAAACAAAACAAGTAATATTTATATTCTGGATACTGCTATTACACTATGATTTTTGCTATTTACATCATTAGTTTAACCAGAATTAGTTAGAGTTAAGGTATAATTTTAGTCAAGTTAATAGTACAAGTAGCAAAAATCATAGTGCAAATAGCAATTCCCTTATATTCTTTCAACTTTTCTTAGTATAAATTTTTAACTTTTTCTAGTATAATCTCTAACTTTCTCTATCAAGTATTATGTATTATATATTTTTGAAAAATATATATAAAAGATGCTTTTTTTTTTCTTGTCAACTTTCAAATTTTTATATTTTATCTTAGATTCTGTTTTTTTATACTCTTCTTATTTTGTAAATATGATATTTTCTCTTTAGAGTAATTTTTACAAACAAGATTATTACTGTATTTTTGTATAAAATAAAGTTATTCTATATACTATTACTATCTTGAACTATTTGCCTTCTATTGTATAGTTAAGTAAATAATTATATTTTTATTTTATGTATATTTGCAAAAATTAATCACTATATTGAGTGATCTTGTTGTATAACTGTATTGGTTTAAAAAAAGCAATTTCTTATGCTAATTTTTGAGAGAAAAGTGATTTTTGACAAAACGGACATTTGTTTTGAAATTTTTTGATCATATTATGTTTTATCTGATTTTGAAATCTGATTTATAGTAGTATAGCAAAAGTTCATTTATATTAGTGTTAGAGTCAGAGTTGGGAATTAAAGGATTTCTTATACTGACTTTTGAGAGGTAAGTGATTTTTGACAAAATAGATATTTGTTTTGAATTTTCTTGATTGTATTACATTTTGTCTAGTCTTGAAATCTGATTTGTAATGATATAGCAAAAATTTTTTAAGATTCATTTATATTAGATTAGGATCAAAATTAAAAATCAGAAAGAGTAGTTTCTATAATAAAATTGTTCGAAAGTAATTTCTTATACTGATTTTGAAAGATATGCGATTTTGACAAAATGAACATTTGTTTTGAATTTTTTTGATCATGTTATATTTTATCTAATCTTGAAATCTGATTCATAGTGGTATAGCAAAAATTTTTTAAGGTTCGTTTATATTAGATTAAGGTTAGAGTTAGAAATCAAAAGAAGCAGTTTCTATAGTAAAATTGCTCAAAGATGATTTCTTATATGATTTTTGAAAAATATGCGATTTTTGACAAAATAGATATTTTAAATTTTCTTGATCGTGTTATGTTTCACCTGATTTTAAAATCTGATTTGTAGAGATATAGTAAAATTGTTTATAGGTTAGAGTTAGAAATTAGAGAATTTCTTATATTGACTTTTGAGAGATAAGCAATTTTTAACAAAACTGACATTTGTTTTGAATTTTCTTGATCATATTATATTTTGTCTAGTTTATTTAGAGTCAGAGTTGGAAATCAGAGGAGAGTAGTTTTTATAGTAAAATTGCTTGAAAGTAATTTTTTATGCTAATTTTTAAAAGGTATATGATTTTTGACAAAACGGACATTTGTTTTGAATTTTCTTGATCGTATTATATTTTGTAAATTTGATTCATAGTGGTATAGCTAAAATTTTTTAGTAAAATTGCTCGAAGGTAATTTCTTATGTTGATTTTTGAAAAGTATATAATTTTTAACAAAATAGATATTTGTTTTGATCATATTACATTTCGTCTAGTCTTGAAATTTGGTTTGCAGTAGCATAGCAAAAATTCTTTAAGATTTGTTTATTTAGAGTAGAAAAGGATTAGTAGTTATATTAGAGTATATCAAGTTTATAGTTAGATATAGAGATTTAATAGAAATTGGTAATTCAAAAATACTTGTTATATGTATAAATAAATTAATAAATTAAATATTTTATAATAAACTCTATATAAAATTGATCTTGCAATATAATTGTGATCAATATGCAGATCATGTAACTAGAAAATTTCCTCAGTTAAGATTAGCAATTTTCTATAAAAATAAAAAAAATATATAAAAATAAAAAATAAAAAAAATAATTATAAAGAAAAAAAAGTAGTTAATAAAATTTAATATATATCTGGTTATCTCTTTATATAGATATATTTTAGTTTATAATAGAATGATTTAATTAAATTATTTGTATATATTATATCTCTCAAAGCTCCTTTTATACAAATCATCTATATTTCATATTTTAGCTTTTATCAGTATTCAAAATAATTAGCAAAATTATTAATCACATCAATACTTATTTTTCTCCAATAATTAATTGCATTTATAATTTGTTCTTGAGCATTTGTATTAGAATATCTTTTTACTTTTAGCAATTTACAAAGATTTTCTAAACTGTTTCTTTTGATAGTTTATTATTTGTATTATATTTATAGCAAAGTTTTCTATACTAAAACTACAACTCTTAAAAAAGTATAAAAATACAAAACTATTAGAGAAACTAGCTTGAGATGCTTTAATTTTTTCTTCTATATTATTAACTATAAATATATTCAGTCTTTATCTTTTATTTTTATTTTTTAAAAATTAAACTATTCTATCAATATCGATATTCATTTAAATTTATTTATCAAGAATACGACTAGATATCTGCTATCCACTATTGGATATTTTATAACAAGTATGAATAGATAATATCTATAATGATTTGTTCTATAGATTTTATTCAAATATACAAACTTTTAAACTCTATTAATTCTTTTTGTTTTTTGGTTTGAAATATAAACATAAATCTGATATTATCTGCTTTATTATATTTTTTGAATAAACAAACTTTATCTTTGCTAATTATCTTATTCTTCTATATTTTTAAAGAATAGATTTTATTTTTATCAAAACAGAAATGCCTTTAACATACTATAAATAATTATATATATATCATCTTGTATTATTAATCTATCACAAAATATTTGTATATTTTGCAAATAGCTTTTAGTATCAAGAAAATAGATCTAAAAAAAATAAAAAAATTATAAGGGTTTATTTAAGATACACACATGTATAGCTATGCATCTCTTTATATTTTTTAGAATAATTCTATTATATTCTCAAAATTTTACTAAAATAGCCTCTGTTGTATTCTTAATAAAAATTTTTTTTCTCTGTTAACCCTACTATACTGCACCAAATATTTTTACCTACTATCACAAACTACTTTCACTCAACTAAACTTGATATAACTAATAAAGAATTGAAAGATCTAATATAAAAAATTTATAAATATAAAGTATTTTATAATATAGCATCTCAGCCTTATTTTTACTATATAGAGCCAATTCTCAAAGATCTAATATCTTAATTATTAATTCAAATTCTTCAAAATTACAATATTTTTTATAAAATAGCATTCAATATTATAATCAATCTATTACTCAAAATTAATAAACAATTATATAAACAAGTATAGAAACCCTACTGCACAAACTTTGCTAACTAGAAAAAACAAAAGTACTTAAACTACTCATATAGTACAATTTTAATTCTACCCAACAATCTGATAATTCAAGTTTACTTAATAACTCTAGCTCTAATCATCAAGCTAAAAGTACTAATTATATATGCAAAATATATATATTTTTTTGTTTATATAAAGAACCAGATCAATTACACTCATATACTGGAATCTGCCTACTGGTAGATTAAGCCAGAAAGAAAATTAACACTTGGTCTTATCTTTGAACCAAGTACAATAACTCTTTAAATCATATCTTAACTATAATAATCTAAGTAAGTCTTTGACCACTCTAGTAAATTTAGATTGCAGATAAATTTTCCTTGTCTAAGCTCTTATTTTTGTATATAATTTTTATTTTTATTTATACTGGTACAAATAGTAGTAGCTCTATAAATTTCTATATCTAATAATTATTTTAATAACTATATTATAGCAATCTATATTGTAACTATATCAAAATTACTAATAAAGATACAAGCAAGGCCTCATCTTAAAACCAAAAAAAAAATTTTTTTCTCTTACAAAGTTACTTTAGATTTTAATTTTAAATTAATCCTAATTTTAATCTAATCTAACTTTAACCTCTAATCTTCTAACTTTAATTATAATTTCTAATTTAATTATTGTTTATATTTGTTACTATAAGGTATACAGCTATGTATAGTGTATAAAATTAATAAATAATAATAATAATAATAAATTTAAAAAATAAAATAAAAATAAAAATAAATAATAAATATATAAATAGTAAACAAAAATTAAAAAATACTATAATAAAAAAATATATATATAAATTAATAAAATATAATTTAAAATGATGATAATTAAAAAAAAGAACTGAATCTGGAAATGGAAGAAGAAAGAAACTCAAAAAGAAAAACTAATATATTACTCAATACCAAAAAGATAGAAATGGTAAGAGAAGAAACAAAAAAGAGCACCAAGGCTTTATTGAATAAAAATTAAACGATTAAATAATTACAAAAAAAAAAAAATATTTACATCATTAAATGGAGCAATTGAATCGGATAGTTTTATATTAAAAATATAAGCAACTCCTTCATTGGAAGTTGCTGGATATTCAATTGGAATAGCTGAAAATCGGGTATCTCTTATGGCAAGTTCTTCTGTAAAATAATTAATTATTAGTGTTTCAAAAGAACTTTCATCATTCGTAGTATTTTCAATTGATCGAATATCCTCTATATTCTATTGTTAAATTAATAATTAACCAAAAAAGGTTCGTGCCA